GTTTGTATATATGGTTGTGTACATGTTCTGTATATGGTTGTGTATATGTTCTGTATATGGTTGTGTATATGTTCTGTATATGGTTGTGTATATGTTCTGTATATGGTTGTGTATGTGTTGTGTTTATGGTTGTGTATATGGTTGTGTATATGTTGTGTATGTGGTTGTGTATATGTTGTGTATATGTTCTGTATATGGTTGTGTATCTGTTGTGTATATGTTGTGTACATTGTTCTGTATATGGTTGTGTATATTGTTCTGTATATGGTTATGTATCTGTTTGCATATAAGGTTTGTGTATATGTTCTGTATATGGTTGTGTATATGTTGTGTATACGTTGTATATATGGTTATTTATATGTTCTGTATATGGTTGTGTATATGTTCTGTATATGGTTGTGTATATTGTTCTGGAAATGGTTGTGTATCTGTATGTGGTTGTGTATGGGGTTGTTTATGTGGTTGTTTATACGGGTGTGTATGTGGTTGTGTATGTGGTTGTGTATCTGTTGTGTATATGGTTGTGTATCTGTAGTGTATGTAGTTGTGTATATGTTCTGTATATGTCTTTGTATATGTTCTGTATATGGTTGTGTATATGTTCTGTATATGGTTGTGTATATGTTCTGTATATGGCTGTGTATATATTGTGTATATGTTATGTATATTGTTCTGTATATGGTTGTGTATCTGTTTGTATATATGGTTGTGTATATGTTCTGTATATGGTTGTGTATATGTTCTGTATATGGTTGTGTATATGTTCTGTATATACATCGTATATATATATACACGTACAGAGTGATGTTTAAAGTGATTTGCTAAATGAAATCACCAGTACACAAGTATCCCGAGGCAAGGCTTAAGACCTACATGTTGCATACACGCTTACTGGAGAATCTATGTGATAGAGTCGCATAGCCCCGGGACATCTTACCTGCCACTTAATTAGGCGGAACCTTCAGAGGGGGCTTAAGGCAGTTACAGTTTACACAGATATAATCCTGTGTTGCAAGTAGCTGTCTCCATTACCCATAGTTACAGGATGACCACTGCTCTACCTTGACGGTCTTGTTTATATTCTGAATATTTCCCCATGACACTTTAAGGATAGCAACTTCTATAACTCTTTGTACGACGTTTCAGAGCTACTTCTTCACTTGGTGAGGAGCAAGAAGTAGCTCTGAAACGTCCCACAAAGAACAATAACAGACCAAGTTGTGTACGTACTTTTATTTATCATGGACAGGTCTGTCTATTTAACTCTAAAAAGACTGATTACCCAGGCAAAATATATTTTCTGTACACAAGTATCCGAAGGACGCAACGCTTATCGTGAAAATTACTTATAATATAATATTACCCGAACTACAATAACCCTCCCTCAAAGTACAGTTTTCAAGAATAAATGTCTTTGTTTCCTCCAGATAAATCCGAAGATTCTCAAAACACATCCATATTATGTCATTAAATAATTTAACAACAAAATAATCAAAAAAATATATCACAAAGGTGGGCACACTCTCCCGCATATACACAGGCTATAAACAGTAGGAAATACTGGTAATATTACCACAAGGTGTTGAGGATATTTTATTGCACCAAGAAGAATGCTAACATATCATGGTCTTCCATCATCTCTATTTTAACATGCATTTCAACATCAGGATTATCAATTAGTGGAAACGAATACATCTCTCGCTGGAAGTAGACATTCACAGTTTAAGATGACAAGGTGATAATAGTAATCAGGAAAAGTATTACACTTTGTACAGTCCTCAGATAGTTTACTTCTGGATCCAATCCTTATTACATACTGTTTTCTTCTCTCAGTTCTGGATACATTACAATGCTGTATAACACAGCAGGAGTGTGCGTTGTATGACTTTTAGAATTCGAAACAGGTCAGCTCTACATGATAATTTATATAATGTAGCTGTCACCATTACCTTGAGTTACAGATGACCACTGATCTACACTGACGGTCTTGTCTCTACTCTGAATATGTCCCCGTGAACTGTCAAACCTTGACTCATAATTCACAGTATGATAGGAACAAGTAAAGACTAAATTGTGTACGGTCTTTTATTTATCATTGACAGGTCCTACCATTGAAGGCTATAAGACTGATAAACAAGTAAAGACTAAATTGTGTACGGTCTTTTATTTATCATTGACAGGTCTTACCATTGAAGGCTACAAGACTGATAAACAAGTAAGACTAAATTGTGTACGGTCTTTTATTTATCATTGACAGGTCTTACCATTGAAGGCTAAAAGACTGATACCCTGGCAAATATATTTTCTGTATTTCATAAGTATCCGAAGGATGAAACGCGATTTCTTATCATGAAAATTACTAACTTATATAATATTATCTGAACTACACTAACCCTCCCTCTAAGTGGTTTTCAAGATGCTCGGCCTAAACCTGTTATATAATTTGGCGACTATCCACCGAGTCTTTCAAGTCAACCCATCCGAAAAATAAAACACCCTTTATTGTTTCCCTTTAGACGCACTGTTACCGCCCTTCACAACACAGGTACCTGACGTTCAGTGTGGAATGATTCAATGCGACCTCTAACAGAGAAATGGAAATAATTTCTCTGACACGTCCTGGTGTTGAGTGCAAGAAACAAACAACATGATATTAACCATACGGGTAAAGTTTTCGTGTGTGATAACTTTCCAATATTTGCACATGTGCATTTTAACGATTCTCAATGATGATTGGTCAATTGAAGCCATATGGCGTCATAGTGATTCATTGTAGAGAAAAAATACGACATGACGTCATCAATTATTCATAACGTCACAAATGAATTACATGGCGTCATTTGAACAATAGGCCGACTTCTGTGAAGTTTCTCTATAGGGTTGACATTTCATACGTTTCCTCACTTTTCCTTAATGTCAATGAGCAATATATAGAATAACATATTCGAAACTCGGAATTACGGAATATCTCTGATCAATATTTTCCAGTGCCGCTATTGAGACGTTTGACGAAGACGGATTTCAGTGGATTTCATGATCTTTCGTGAACGCTGTACTCTGCCGCCTGTGTGAAATGGTAATGTGTTGTGACATTATGCAAACATCGAACGTTCATTATGTGTGTGATAATGAATTCCCATTACTCATATTGTGTCAATTAGCTCCGCTTTCCTCTGTCAGTAATTGAGACATCCCTTCAAAGGAAGATTGCCCGAATACCGTTCTAGTGGCATGACATCGCGACTGCATTACCGTGCTGCGTCTTGGACAGTCATACCAGCGTACGGCACAAACACGTCTGAGAGGGGATGTATCAGTCTGATACACGTGTGTTAGAGAGGGCATATAGCAGTATCATACACGTGTGTTAGAGAGGGCATATAGCAGTATACTACACCTGTGTTAAAGAGGGCATATAGCAGTATTATACACGTGTGTTAGAGAGGGCATATAGCAGTATGATACAAGTGTGTTTGAGAGGGCATATAGCAGTATTATACACGTGTGTTAGAAAGGGCATATAGCAGTATTAAACACGTGTGTTAGAGAGGGCATATAGCAGTGTACTACACCTGTGTTAGAAGGGCATATAGCAGTATTATACGCGTGTGTTAGAGAGAGCATATAGCAGTATTATACACGTGTGTTAGAGAGGGCATATAGCAGTATTATACACGTGTGTTAGAGAGGGCATATAGAAGTATACTACACCTGTGTTAGAGAGGGCATATAGCAGTATACTACACCTGTGTTAGAGAGGGCATATAGCAGTATACTACACCTGTGTTAGAGAGGGCATATAGCAGTATACTACACCTGTGTTAGAGAGGGCATATAGCAGTATAATATACGCGTGTTAGAGATGGCATATAACAGTATAATGCACGTGTGTTTGGGATGCGATATAGCAGTATTATACACGTGATCACGAGAGGGAATATAAAAGTATAATGCACGTGTGTGAGAGATGGCATATAACAGTATAATGCACGTGTGTTATAATGCACGTGTGTTTTGGATGCGATATATCAGTATTATACACGTGATCACGAGAGGGGATATAACAGTTTAATGCACGTGTGTGAGAGATGGCATATAACAGTATAATGCACGTGTGTTATAATGCAAGTGCTTTGGGATGCGATATATCAGTATTATACACGTGAACACGAGCGGGAATATAACAGTATAATGCACGTGTGTGAGAGCAGGCATATAACAGTATAATGCACGTGTGTTAGAGAGGACATATTGCAGAATACTAAACATACTAAACATGTGTGTTTAGGATGCGATATAGCAGTATTATACACGCGATCATAAGAGGGAATATAACAGTATAATGAACGTGTGCGAGAGATGGCATATAATAGTATAATGCACGTGTGTTAGAAAGGGCATATAGCAGTATAATGCAGTGATGGGATATAGCAGTATTATACATGTGTGTTAGAGAGGACAGAAAGCAGTATAATGCACGTGTGTTTAAAATGCGATATAGCAGTATTATACACGTGATCACGAGAGGCTTTATAAGAGTATAGTGCACGTGCTGGAGTGGGGGAGGGCGGCAGGCAGTATTATACACGTGTTCTAGAGATGGGATATAAGCAGACAAATCTACCACGACAAGCGTAAGACGAACACTTCTGCTTGTATACTTCACTCCACTGACGCGCACTTCCTGCAAGGTCTGCTTCTCAGATGTGCAAAATACCGTTCACTTTTTCTGTATTGGAAACGCTGGTATTTGAGCAGAACGCTCGCGTGAGACGACGCAATACGCTGATTTCTAACAGTAGTAGAAGCCGTCCATTCATGTCGGGCGGCGGGATGAACGAGCGATTGAGAGGCGGAGACAGACAAACAGAGCTGAAGGGGCACCAGCATATCTCAGCGATGATTTGTTACTGCGCTCTTACTGCCCCGTCAATGAGATGATATGTAGCCCCATCTGTGGACCACGCCCCCTTGCAGTGGACTGTTCCGCTCCACCCCCTGCGTCCGAGTGGGTCATCCCTCGCTCAGTGACGGCGGCTGCAGGAATAGGGTATAGCAAGCCGGCTCACTCGGATTACAACACTGTGTTCATGACGGACAGAAAACTTTTCGGAACTTAGGAAAAGTTTTCCAGGAATCTCCAAAATGGAGAAGAACCGGACTGGTGGTTCGGGCAGGACATATAGCCCGTGTGCGCGTTTTATTTTGTGGATTTTCGCATGTCTTGGAATTACTTTGCTCAGTCTTCTAATCGCCTTTGTCGCTTGGACGATTTTGTCCTACCACGATTCGTTGGTTTCTCTCCAAAACAGAGTTGGAAAATTGGAGAAAGAATGCTCAGAGTATAAAAATAATATCAATAAATATGTTGACACGCGAGTGCAGAAGCTCATACAGGAGGTAAGTACTTTTATCCCATCATTCTGGCTAAGTGCTTTCATCTTTTGGTTAACGTCATCCCATCTGGAGGCGCCACAAGTCGCCGTATCCATGTCGCCAAGTGAAGACCGTTTGGATTTGCTGCTTTCTCAGTTTCCAACGTGGATTAAATGATAACATGCTCTCACAAACACGAGATAAGCATGGTGAGGCCGGGTACGATGGAGACTAATCGCATCTCTGTTGCAGCACCTGGAGGAACGTACGCACAAATCTGACGTCGTCAAGAGGGCCGTAGGAAGCTGCCTCTGTCCACCAGGTAGGTCGTCAAACATTGTAGCTTTAATTACATACATCTCACTGTTTACCCACACACGTAAACCCGGAGTTCCCGAGATCGCTGCTCGGTCCAAGTTAGTTTAAAAATGTTGACGGGACGTCCCACGCCGTCACGTGGCGTCAGGCGACCTTGTTGACCTTGTTGACTGGTGTCATGATGCGAGAGATGCGACCAGGATACCTGCTTGTGTGGAAGAGTCGTTACCGACTGCGGCTTTATAAGTAGAGCTAGAAATCAATTGAAGCACGATATGCATTGTGCACTCGTACAGACAGCTCCCACTGTAGCTAGTAGTTTGCTCAGAAGTGCTTGATTCCAACTAATTCTATGGCGGCGTTAGAATGTGTAGAGGGTGCGGAAGGCCATTTTAAGGATCCTTGCTCTTTCGAGACGAATACCTGCTACGTTGGCTAGAAACCCTTATATATGTGTTAATGACCCTGCAGGTAATAAAGTGACCTGGTTTCAGAAAATAATACAAATCGATTTGACATTAGAACAATTGCCCTTTCAATAGATACTACTTAGAAAGCCTCATTTTGTACATATAAGTTTGACTTCTTATAAACAATTGCTTGGTTGGAATTATATATGAACGCCCTTACAGAATTTTGGGGCAAATATTGATACAACTTAATCGTCAACGTGATATAAAGCTGTAACGATCTTGACGTCCTTCTCAGCGTGTGAGCTGCACATCATCAGGGGCTGTAATGACTACCTGACTCTATAAGACATCTTTCACCATGTTGTATGATATGTATCTGGGATCAGCAGTGTCACAACTCCAGTGCACGGTACACTGCTTATCCTTCCACTGCCCAATACAGTTTCTAGCAGGTAGGCAGCTCTGATATAAATGACAGGATAGAGGCGATAGTGGGGTAACGTAGACTGATGGTATAAGGTTCGGTGGTATTTCATGTGCTGTATAGAGGTAATGATGGAAGCGTCTAGGTGAGAGGGTGAGGGCTGAGGGGTATTACGCTGTCACATGCAGGATGTGAAGCACGGTCACAAACCCTACCCTGCTACCTACTGCATCTTCTTCACTACACCATGACGTCAACAAACTGATCGTGTTTCAACCCCGATATGTCGTCTACCCGTGCCTGGACATGTTTGCTGTATATTCGCCCTTTTAAACAGAGCTCCCCTCATATAGCTGGCTAATCCAGGCCCTGGTGGCTCATATACCCGGTTAGTGCATCAACATCCTGCACGCTCGGGTGCCCCACCCTCCAGGGACGGGTAGACGTAGACAAGATACTAGAGGTTCGTGTTACATGGATGTCCTGCTCTCGTCACTCGCACATGTCACTGTCGCTGGGAGTCTGGCTTTCTGTTTGTGACAAGCATTTGACATATTGTGTGTAGATCCAAACAAGAATCTCCAAGGTTTGGAGCTAAGATGATGTCCTTTCTATGAGCTTACAATCGTACCAAGATGTCCCTCGTGCAGACTTAAATATTTCAACCATGGTCTTATAAACATGCCCCACTTGGGGACCATGGTCTTATAAACATACTCCATTTGTATTCTATGGTCTTATAAACATGCCCCGCTTGTAGGCCATGGTCTTATAAACATACTCCATTTGTATTCTATGGTCTTATAAACATGCCCCGCTTGTAGGCCATGGTCTTATAAACATACTCCATTTGTATACCATGGTCTTATAAACATGCCCCGCTTGTAGGTCATGGTCTTATAAACATACTCCATTTGTATTCTATGGTCTTATAAACATGCCCCGCTTGTAGGACATGGTCTTATAAACATACTCCATTTGTATACCATGGTCTTATAAACATGCCCCGCTTGTAGGTCATGGTCTTATAAACATACTCCATTTGTATACCATGGTCTTATAAACATACTCCATTTGTATACCATGGTCTTATAAACATGCCCCGCTTGTAGGTCATGGTCTTATAAACATACTCCATTTGTGTACCATTGTCTTATAAACATGCCCCGCTTGTAGGTCATGGTCTTATAAACATACTCCATTTGTGTACCATGGTCTTATAAACATGCCCCGCTTGTAGGCCATGGTCTTATAAACATACTCCATTTGTGTACCATGGTCTTATAAACATGCCCCGCTTGTAGGTCATGGTCTTATAAACATACTCCATTTGTGTACCATGGTCTTATAAACATGCCCCGCTTGTAGGTCATGGTCTTATAAACATACTCCATTTGTGTACCATGGTCTTATAAACACGCCCCGCTTGTAGGTCATGGTCTTATAAACATACTCCATTTGTGTACCATGGTCTTATAAACATGCCCCGCTTGTAGGCTATGGTCTTATAAACATACTCCATTTGTGTACCATGGTCTTATAAACATATTCTATTTGTAAACCATGGCCTCATAAACATGCCCCCCTTGTAGGTCATGGTCTTATAAACATACTCCATTTGTATACCATGGTTTTATAAATATGCCCCGCTTGTAGGTCATGGTCTTATAAACATACTCCATTTGTGTACCATGGTCTTATAACTATAGTCCATTTGTATACCATGGTCTTATAAACATACGCCATTTGTATACCATGGTCTTATAAACATGCCCCGCTTGTAGTCCATTGTCTTATAAATATACTTCATTTGTATACCATGGTCTTATAAACATGCCCCGCTTGTAGGCTATGGTCTTATAAATATACTCCATTTGTATACCATGGTCTTATAAACATGCACCACTTGAAGGCTATGGTCTTATACATATGACGCTTCTATGAGTGTAGCTTTCTACACGTCAATCTTTCAGGACTCGGTATTACAAACCTGACCCTTCCATTACATTCTGACAAACATGTCCCTTCTATGAGCCCAGGAGGTTTTACAAACATATCCCTTCTATGAGCCCAGGAGGTTTTACAAACATGTCCCTCCTATGAGCCCAGAAGGTTTTACAAACATGTCCCTTCTATGAGCCCAGAAGGTTTTACAAACATGTCCCTTCTATGAGCCCAGAAGGTTTTACAAACACGTCCCTTCTATGATCCTAGAAGGTTTTACAAACATGTCCCTTCTATTATCCCAGAAGGTTTTACAAACATGTCCCTTCTATGAGCCCAGAAGGTTCTACAAATATGTCCCTTCTATGATCCCAGAAGGTTTTACAAACATGTCCCTTCTATGAGCCCAGAAGGTTTTACAAACATGTCCCTTCTATGATCCCAGAAGGTTTTACAGGCATGTCCCTCGCGTAACCTTTGATATGAGAACCATGTCCCATTCTATTAGAAATACACCATATATGATCTTACACACTCCTCCTTAAGCCTAGATTTCCACACACACCACGTCTTTCTGTGAAGCAGTTTCAACAGCACCATCTGCGTTCGTCCATGACCCCGGTACAGTACCGATACTCTCCACTCTTTCACATCAGCCTCGGGAATCAGCTGTAACCAAAATACAGACATTATCGTTCACAAAATCAACATTCGGAATCAGCTGGAACCAAACAGTAGACATTATCGTGATTCCAAGACAGGGAACCACAGGACGCTCTACTCAAAGTGCACTCAATAACATCATCTTTGGTAAAGGTCGATGGTGCCATACAGCACCCCTGTTCGCGATGGTGTCTTGCAAACTTCTCGGTTATGCCTTACAACCCCACCATCGTCACCCCCACCACGACGGTGACAGGTTGACCAACCCCCATTGCCTGTTGAACCCGGTAACAACACTAACCTTTTTGTATGAACCTTGTCGGTAGTAAAGGAATCTACTGCGTGGTCCTGTGTCACCAAATGTGTAACCTAAGCCATTCCTTCCTGTCATTTGCCCGTGTTCTCAGGGGGACTTTCAACCTGGTAAAGTGGCTAATATGGGGCAGGTGCACCCAGTATCATGGCCATTTGTAGAAGTCAAATACTAAGTAAACCGATGTCAATCTTACCGGACGGACAGCTGGATAGACAGACACGAACGGGAACAGACACGTTTGTGCTGACGCTATGGTGGCTGTTTTAGTGACTGGTTTAGAACCCCGGTCCTGTGCGCTGGCTCTAGGATGAAGGGCTCACCCCCATCTATGTGGGTAGACGACAACGCCGACCCGTGTGTCAGGACTGAGGGGGGAGAGGGTGTTAACCCAGATGATGCTGCAGTCTGACATTCACGTGGCAATTACCGCTACATCATAATGAAGGCTACGTCTCACGTGACTTATGACTAACGAAATGTGCAGTGATGACACCTGTGGTATAGCGCTGCACATGTGACCACAGATCCGCATTGGGTGCGCCGGCCCGGTTCTGTAGACGGGAGACTTAGGCTGGTGCAGAACTTCGTGATTGAACCTTTAATCACTTATTCTTCTGAGTATCATGTTTGGAAGTATTTGTAAAGATATATCCTGTAAGTTGGTATACGAGTGAGTGAGTGACTGAGTGAGTGACTGAGTGAGTGACTGAGTGACTGAGTGGTTTTTAGCATTATTCCAGCAATATCACGGCAGAGGACAACAGCAATTGTTCACACGCGGGAATCGAACCGGGCTTCCGACGTGACGAGCGAAACCTTTGGCCACCCAAAGAGGCATTCGTGACCAACTCGTGTTATTCCGGGACAAGCCGAATAGCGACTCGTGCCCCTCTCGTGGCCATTTTTGCGACCGGGTTCCGTCTTAGCGCAAACGGGCATACCAAAAATAATTGTCAACTCCTCGCGTAATGGTTCACATATATTTCCCCATATATTATATATATTTCAGATGCCATTTAAAGCACATCTGGACATGCGGAATTATACAGTATTATTGAACACATTTAACTGTGCCTTGGGTATATTTTTAGATGCAAGACATATGTAAAATCAAAAATTATTTCTGAGGGATTCTTTGACGAAAAACCTGAAATCATGCGCGCATTCTGATTGGTTTGTCTTATTTCCGCACATAACATTCATCGATAGGGGGACGAGTTTTCTTGCAGGTTACGGAAAGAGGC